GCCAAGGATCATGATTTTAAATGTTTCATGGTATACTACAGCAAAACATATACAGTATTTTCATGGAATGCATTAAGCCAAAACTAAAGAAATTTAGGCCTTGCTTTCTACTTAAAAGAGACAAGAAAAAAAAAACATATCCTCCTGGAAATTTTCCCTTGTTCTTCTTAGCACGTAGATAGATGGTGCCTGATGGCCTGAAAAAATGTTGTTCCAGATCTGATTTAAACCCACAAATATTATGTGTCCTTATCACTCACCTCCTTGTATCATAGGAAGTGCAGTTGCTCCAGATAATTATAATTAGGGGGTATTTCCATTTCAGAAATAGCCTTGTAAAAACCTCTGTATACTTTACTCTTGAAACAGAAGAATCCTGAAAACTGAGAAACTTTCATCATGTATAAATTACATCCAACAATGAAAAGCTTCAGGCCATTAGCGAAAATGGAAACAAGAGAGAAAAGAAGGGTTTTTATTGGGACATAATTGTGTTCTAGAGAAACTCAAAATGTTCAGGGATAAAAAAATATATTTCCTTTATAAGTCAGCATTATATCGTGGCAAAGAGCTGGAAATTTGTATTTCTATTTTTAAAATATTTTTTTGATTATTTGTCAAGTACATTTCTTAAAGGGATAAAGTGACATTTTAGATCTTCCAAAAAATGCTGCATTCTTTGGTGTAGTACCATTTCAACATGGATAACTCAATCTTTTAAGTCAATGACAACATTAAAAAAGAAGAATAGGAAGGCTCTGGTATGTGATATCACTACATATTTCTTACATTCTCAATGCCTTTGAGCATCATATTTAAATATTACAGGAATAGACTAAATTTGGCCAAATCTCAGATTATGCCGATGTTCACGTATAGGTAGTCCTTGATGTACGACCACAATTGAGGCCAAAATTTCTGTAGCTAAGTGAAACATCTGTGAAGTGAGTTTTGCGATTTTACAACTTTTTGTTTTTGCCAGAGTTGTTAAGTGAATCACAGTAGTTAAGTTAGTAACATGGTTGTTAAGTGAATCTGGCTTCCCCACTGACTTTGCTTGTCAGAAGTTCGCAAAATGGGATCATATGACCTTGGGACATTGCAACCGTCATTAATGAGTCTGTTGCCAAGCTTCCAAATTTTGATCACATGATCATGAGGGTATTGCAATAGTTGTAAGTATGAAAAACGGTCATAAGTCACTTTTTTCAGTGCCGTTGTAACTTTGAACAGTCACTAAATAAAATGTTGTAAGTCGAGGACTACCTACACTGCAGAGGTGGGTTCTACTTACCTTTACTACGGGTTCCCAATGGGATTGCACATGCGCGCGCGCTCTGCTTGCGCACGAGCTTTCTGCATGCATGCGCAGATCGCTTCATCAGGGTCAGTGGGCGGAGCCTCCCGCCGGTTTTACTACCGGTTCTATAGAACTGGTTCAAACCGGGGGCAACCCACCACTGCTACACTGGTATTTTATTTATCCACATCGGTAATCTATTATATTCTTTAGCCGCAACTCTAATATAGAATTTCTAAAAAATAATTCTTACAATGTCATGGCAACAGGAGTAAATGGCAAAGATCAGCAGGTAAATCTTCCTTTATTTCTGTCTCAAAATCCAGAATCAACGCCACCACATTTTTGAAATGAGTTTTTATTACTATTCCTTACGATCAACCGTTTCTTTTGCACAAAATTCTTTCTGTCTATATGCTGTTCCTGCAACACTGACCTCTCTCACTGCAAATTTCATCACATTCTGTCCCATACTCACTATTTAAAACTCCAGATTTTACAGGATTGCAGCTCAAAATCAACGTACCAGTTCATACAAAAATGTGATATATGTTACCTGCTTATTAAGGCATAATGTTTCTGAAACAAATGACAGCACTCTGTGCTTTTCTCTTATTAGACTACGGAATTCTGTTTTTCAGATTCTCAATCCTGATTTAAGTATTGAATCACAGTGAACTATTTCTGGAGCAATGCCCATCAGATTGGTCTGTTTCCAAAGATTATGCTTCCTCGGTGAATCACTCACCCCACATCCACATGTAAGTTTGCATGGTTCATGGGCAGATTTTTCTATCTGCAGGGATCATCTGAAAAGCAATCTTTAAGGCCACAGCCTTTTCATTACACAATGTGCCCTATTTACTATTTTGGCACTATCTTTCAATTACCATGTTATCTTTTCCAGCTTCAAATAACCCATATTTAAACATAAGCTCTCAATCTCTCAGTGAATTGATAAAGCACCTACAAAGGTAGATGTTATATAGTATAGAAACCCCAAAGACAAACAACAAGACAAAAATGACAATTATGGACTGGCAGAGCTACATATTTACAGTTCCCTCAACTGATACCATTTAGCAATAGCAATAGCACATATACCGCTTCATAGTGCTTTTACAGCCCTCTCTAAACGATTTACAGAGTCAGCATATTGCCCCCAACAATCTGGCTCCTCATTTTACCCACCTAGGAAGGATGGAAGGCTGTGAAAATATTTACAGACCCCTCATATCCTGGGCATAAAGTGTTTCAACTCCTACCCTCAAAATGACATTATACAGCACTGCACACCAGAAGAACTAGACACAAGAACAGTTTTTTCCCGAATGCCATCACTCTGCTAAACAAATAATTCCCTCAACACTGTCAAACTATTTACTAAGTCTGCACTACTATTAATCTTCTCACCTTCTCATCGTTCCCACCACCCATCTCCTCCTACTTATGACTGTATGACTGTAACTTTGTTGCTTGTATCCTTACGATTTATACTGATATTGTTCCTGATTGCTTATTTGTACCCTATGACTATCATTAAGTGTTGTACCTTATGATTCTTGATGAAGTATCTTTTATGTACACTGAGAGCATATGCACCAAAGACAAATTCCTTGTGTGTCCAATCACACTTGGCCAATAAAAAATTCTATTCTATTCTATTCTATTCTATTCTGAGTCAACTTTGAGCCAATGAGATTTGATCTGCTGAACTGCAGCTAGCAGTCAGCTGAAGTAGCCTGCAATACTGCACTCTAACCACTGCACCACCTCGGCTCTTTAAGGGAAGGTGGATAATCCGTGCTGTTTCCCTGACTGTTGTAGGTAACATGCCTAATCAGCTTTGTTCAAAGAAATAATGTAAGTTGGATCCAGCAGATAATGTGCCTGCTCCTACACCATTAATACCAACAAGGGGTAAGACCACACTCAATAGCAGGAAATGTCAATCTATTTTTGGTTCAGAGAAACCATTCAGTAGGAAAGCATAGGTGGTCCTCAATTTACAACTACAATAGGGCCTGGAATCCTAGGTTGTTGAGTGATGGGCTCGTTGAGTGGGATGCTCACACGATCGCTTCACTCAATGATTGCAATCTTGGCTCTCCAAATTGCAATCATTAATTGATTGCAATTGATTGTTAAGTGGATGGAGTGAAAGAGCTGCCTGCCAAAGGAGGGCAGGTAGCACCCCTCTGTGTTCAGAAGGGAACGTCTATGCTGGGATGGAGAGATAAGATAGGGATCTGCTGATGGAGGAGACAGGAAGTGCTGTGCTGGATGGGAAAAGAATCTTCGCAATCCCTGTTTTATCTCTTCTGTCTAGTGCACAAGTTCCCTTCCACACACAGAGGGGAGAAGAACTCCTGTGCTGGCCTGGAGAGATGAAGCAGGGATCCTAAAGACCTTAGCTTTGTTTCTGCAACTCAACAAAGGTTTTCCACTCCCATCCTACCTCATGCATGGAGGAGAATGGAAATCCTTTGGCAGGCAGCAATAACTTGCAGCCTTTCCTGCTACCTGCCCCACTGACTTTCTGGGGAAGCTGGCAGAGAAGCTTGCAAATGACAATCACATGGCAACAGCAATATCACTTAGAGTTATATACTGCTTTACAGCCTTCTCTAAGCAGTTTACAGAGCAGTTTATATTGCCCCCAACAATCTGGGTCCTCATTTTACTGACCTCAAAAGGATGGAAGGCTGAGTCAACCTTGAGCTGGTGAATCGAACTGCCAAACTGCTGGCAGTCAGCAGTCAGCAGAATATTGCATTCTAACTACTATACTACCACGGCTCTTGATGGTGATCGCAAAGTGCTTGACAACCAGTCATAAGTATGAAGAGGTTGCCAAGCACCCAGATCATGAGCATGTGAGCATGAGGGAGGTGAGGGTAGTATGATGTTTTATGATGGCCAGAAGTGCTTTATAGACCATAACTTCAAACCGTCATTAAATGACCATTTGTAAGTTGAGAATTACCTGTAATGTTCTATTTCTCACTTTAAACACATTCCATTAACTGTGATTCGGAATAAAGAATGTTAACTTGAATTTTACCTCAGGAAGTTTTGAGATGGGAAATGCAGATTGGATTTAGATTAAATCAATTTACCTTACACTCTGTGCTAGAGTTTCCATCCAGAATCTTGCTTTCTATACTTAAAATACAATCATGGACAAGTTTTACCTAAACATAAAGCTCTTCCTAGAAATTATCTCCAGGATTACAGCTTGTCTGTAGCATATTTTGCCTTGGGAACTGTGCTACACTGGATTCCCCACCATATATTTTATATACAATGAGATACCTCATTGAGGCCCAGGGCATAGATGGCCAGCTGAGACTGTTGAAGGTCCAGAGCTTCTACTTCAGTCTCAGCAACGCCCCCATTGCACCCAAAAGGACAAAGATAGGGAAGAGAGATAAGCAGGTAGGAGGAGTTCAAGAGGAGGTCGTTCCTTACCTTACCGAGACTTGGGGCTGGGAGTGACCAAATGGAAGCAACATGGTTTCTATGAATGTTGTATTTTCTGACTATGGCCTTTCCTATAATTATATTTATAAATAAAGTTCAAATTTATCTAATGTTACACGACCATTAGATAATTATGATTAATTGAGAAAGCAAAAGAGTGCCCTTTCCTAAATTCATAAAGCATGCTCAATATTTAAGGCACCAAGGAATAACTTACCAGTATAGTCTTCATAACATTCACAGGTATAGCCTCCCTCTCGACTTCGACAAAGGCCATTGTTTCCACATGGGTTAGAATAGCAGAGGTCAATCTCCGTTTCACAATAGTCACCAGTAAACCCAGGGGGGCAGCGACACCTCAGGCCGTTGATAGGGTGTATGGGTCGGAAAAGCACAGTATTTGAACTGATAAACGGTGCGGAGCTGTCAAACTTCAGTACAGATACACATTTCATGTAGTTTTCGCAAGGTTCCCGCAGGCAAATGTTATCATCAAAAGGCAATACTCGTTGAGTAGATATCAGCGTCAGCAGTGTCCGGTTGAGGTATATCTGCTCCTGAAGGTCTTCAGAGGGGAAGAATTTGTTTCGAATGCCACCGGGAAGTAGGGCAGAAAATGTCACATTCAGGATATTGGAGCTAACATCTGTGTCGTTTTGAATGTTGAAGACAAAAATGCCCTCCTTGGTTGTTGACAGTACAGTAGCCACGCCTTCCACAAAGAGAGCCAGCAGAGGGGAGAGAAACTTCTCTTGGGACATGTTTTCCAGCCGTACCGTGATACTGTTTGTAAGCATGTCATCAGTGATGATGGTAACCCTTAAGGTGCAATATGCTGTAACACTGTGGATACCATCTATAGGGTAAAAGAGAGAAGAATTAAAAAGGATCCCAAAACCAACTTCATGCATTTTCTTCTAAAAACCCTATAATACATGATTGTTAAATCAGGCAGTGTGCAGTCAGGTAATGTAAACAGAGTGCTAAGTTAAAAAGTCATTTAGGCTGCTCCGTACTGAAATGAGCACACAAATTTCAATCATATACTGCAATATAGAATAGAATAGAATAGAATAGAATAGAATAGAATAGAATAGAATAGAATAGAATAGTTGGAAGGGACCTTCGAGGTCTTCTAGTCTAACCCCTGCTTAGGCAGGAAACTCTATACCACTTAAGAGAAATGGTAATCCAACATCTTTAAAAACTTCCAGTGTTGGAGCATTTACAATTTCTGGAGGCAAGTTGTTCCACTGACTAATTGTTCTAACTGTCAGGAAATTTCTCCTTAGTTCTAGGTTGCTTCTCTCCTGGATTAGTTTCTACCCATTGCTTCTTGCCCTTTATTTATTTATTTATTTATTTTATTTTTTTCTATTTTTTACTTCTATTTTTTATTTTTATTCTATTTTTTATGTCATTGGCAAATATTTCAAATGCAAAAGAAGAAAAAACTATAAATACCAATCTCATTCACACTCATAAAATTCATTAAAAGTGTCAGTTTGTTCAATAGTATGTAAAAATGAGAAATTAAATAAACTGCTACAGATAGTCCAGATTTATTGTAAAGCTTCAACAATAAGTCATTGAAATATAGAAAGACAGAGCATTCTTCAGACCACTGTACAACTGATAGAAAAGAAGATCCTGTAACCCTGAAGCATTTTTTTTGCTAACATAAATGCATGAAATGTTCTTTCCCATTAACCTGTTTATTTCCAAAACCTGTTTTTTGAACAAGAAAGTAGTCATTTATAAAAACCCAAAGAATTTTCCAAAGTGATCTATGAAATACACACACACAAAAACACTCTAACACAGGACCACATTATACCTAAATGGAGATGGGTGGTGGGAACAATGAGAAGATTAATAGTAGTGCAGCCTTAATAAATAGTTTGACAGTGTTGAAGGAATTATTTGTTTAGCAGAGTGATGGCGTTCGGGAAAAAACTGTTCTTGTGTCTAGTTCTTCTGGTGTGCAGTGCTGTATAGTGTCATTTTGAGGGTAGGAGTTGAAACACTTTATGCCCAGGATATGAGGGGTCTGTAAATATTTTCACAGCCTTCCATCTTTCCTATTTTTAATGTATGGGCACAATGATATGACTCTGGAAGGGATATTTATGAAAAATGTTACTGGTATTTGGAAGTTGGAACTGATGGGTGGGTAAAAACTATTTCAGGTGATCTCAGGTGGGTTACAAATTAACTGAATGGTGTAGATGCTACCTGGTTTGCCTATCCTGATACGTATCTTTTAGTCATTATTTCTAAACAATATAAATTAGAATGCACTAATCAATGTCCTCTCTTTTAGTGGCACAAATCTTCTTTTTCAAAGAGGCATATGAAAAACCAGGAAGCTCTCCATCCTAAGGGGGTATAAAACTTTTTGAACTTGAAAGAGACATTTTGAATGCTCTATTTCTAAATTTTGAAGTTTTGTTCCGAGTTCAGTGCTATTTTTCCCTGTTCTATGAAAGATTTTTTTTCTTTAAAAAATCCCCCACAGAATTAATAAGTAGTTCAGGCAACATTTCCATTCTGGTATCATTATCTAGAGCAGTGATGGCTTTTTGCCGTTGCATGCAAAAGCGGGGGGAGCATGGGGTACCCGTGTGCCCACACCCACAATTCAATGCCTCCCCACCCCACCGTGCAAGCGCAACCCCCGCGCTCTCCCCACTTTTGGCATGCGATGGCAAAAAGGTTACTAGTGGACCCGGTAGGCCCATTTTTCACCCTCCCCAGGCTCCAGAGGCTTTCTTGGAGCCTGGGGAGAGTGAAAACAGCCTCCCCGTCCCCCCCGGAGGCCCTCCGGAGGCCGGAAACAGCCCATTTCCTGACTTCTGGTGGGCCTGGAAGGCCTGAAAATCAGCTGGCCAGCAGGCATATGCTGAAGCTCAGCTAGGGCAACACTTGCATGCCCACAGATATGGCTACGCATGCCACCTGTGGCATGCATGCCATAGGTTCACCATCACGGATCTAGAGCTTTAAATAAGAGCAGCCACATACAGCATAGCATAAGAACGTTATAATGCAAGTTATGATGGTATCCCTTTCAACAACAATTAGCAGGAGGCTTAATTTCAAGAAACTAGAACTACAAGGAAGACTCCAGATGTTGCAGAGAAGTGTTAAGCAATAGCATAATTATTACTAATTAACGGGGATTCTAAACAGGAGCAAGAGGCACTGAAGGTACCGTACTTATTGCTTCAAAATCCCTCCAAATTGACACTAGCCAGGGTTGCACAAAGTGTGATTTCACCTTTTTCATCTCTTTGCAAGTGTCTTTCCAGGAGTTTCTTTCCTAATGATTCTTGAAGGCAGCATCCTGTGTCATATGAGAAACTAAGGAATCTTTACTATTTTTTTTATCATGCCAGCTAGAGCAATTCTTTTGGCAGGGGAGTTGAAAGAAAAATTGAAACTTTCCCCTCAAAATGACTATGGAGATTCTCAGTCATCCAGGCTAGGGGTCTCCAACCTTGGCAACTTTAAGCCTGGAGGATTTCAACTTCCAGAATTCCCCAGCCAACTTTTCTGGCTGGGGAATTCTGGGAGTTGAAGTCCACCAGCCTTAAAGTTGCCAAGGTTGGAGACCCCTGATCCAGGCCATAATTGTCCCAAAGGTGCTTTTTCAAGAGGCAACTGGACTTTCTTGTTTCTGAGCTGAAGAAGCTTCTTAGATAAGAAGCAAAACATCTTCAAAGAAAAACAAGGAAGTCCAGTTGCCTCTTGAAAAAGCACCTTCGGGTTTCCCCATAAAAATTGAGAAGTAATGAATGTCGTCATTTCTTGTCAAACATACAAATGGACACCAATATACAAATAGGGAAGTGAAAATTAGTAAATAAATCAGAGGTTCATGTTTAAAAACAAGGATTACTTAAATTCTCCATTGCTTTATCTCTGCATTACTAATCCAAGATGTTTCTTGAAATTTCATACTTATTTATTTTAAAACCCAATGTTTCAATGGATATAACTTTTTTTAAAAATTGTTTAGTGATTTTGATTTTGCGTCATCTCTGGATATTCTTAATTGCTTTAGATTCCATAGTGGAAAGTGAAATATAAGTTACTCTAATACATTAAATAAATAAGCAATCTTGTTTTTAATTATAACTATTGCTTTTCTGATTACATTTCCAGCATGCAAAAGCAGAAGAGAATAATACAAATTTGGGAAATTTGTAAAATAATTGATCTACTGCTATGGGGAAATACTGGTACATAACACCTTAGAAAAATTACATGCAAATTACGTACAAACCTGAGTCATAGAATGCATGTAATTGCTAAATGGTGGGATGAAACTCACCACTGGAATGTACTGCCAGAAGGACATAAACTGAAACAGACCTAACAACAGAGAAAGTGGAGGTGAATTATAAGTAAAAAAATCATTACACCTCTACAAAAATGCATAAAACCAAAGATGAAAGCCTCCTTGATTTTTTTTTTAAATTTGATTTATATGCCGCCCTTCTCCGGAGACTCAGGGCGGCTTACAATGCGTTAAGCAATAGCCTTCATACGTTTGTATATTTTTACAAAGTCAGCTTATTGCCTCCACAAACTGGGTCCTCAATTGCATAGGGAACAAGAGGAAAAAAGAATGACATTGCCATAGGGATATACTACAGGACACACAACTAAGAAATAGATGAAACCAGCATGGCTGCATACAGAACTCTCTGATAAACTGAAAGACAAAAAGGATAAGTATAAAAAATGGAAAGAGGGACAGTATAAGTAAGGCAGAAACCAGCATATATCCCGAATCTGCAAAAATGAAATCTGGAAAGCTAAGGTTCAGGATGAACAAATGTCAGAAATAATAAACAAAAAAAATTTTGTAAAAAAAAAACAAGAAAAAAGTCAACAAAACAACTGGTCTACTAATGGTAGAAGATGGAAAGGAAGTGACAGGTAGCAGGGAGAAAGCAGAGCTGTTTAATTCATTCTTTTTATCTGTTTTCACACAAAAAGAAATAATAGCACAACTTGGTACCAAAAACATAACCATAAAAGACAGACTAGGAAAACAAATTAATATAGGCAAGAAAATGATAAGAGAACACCTGTCCGCTCTAGACAAATTCAAATCACCAGGACCAGATGGATTACATCTCAGAGTCTGAAGGAGCTGACAGACGTGATCTCAGAAGCATTGTATCGTATTTCTCAAAGATCCTGGAACATGGACAACTATCAGAAGACTGAAAAAGAGCTGATGTGGTTCCCATCTTCAAAAAAAAAAAAAAAAAGGTGGGGGGAGGAATGGATTGAGGAAACTACAGACCAATCAGCCTGACATCAATACCTGGGAAGATCCTAGAAAAGATAATCAAGCAACGCATCTGCAAACTCCTAGAAGCAAGCAAAGTAATAACTAGAAGCCAACACAGGCTTGTCAAAAACAGATCATGCCAAACAATTTTTTTTTCATTCTTTGACAAAATGACTAAATTAATGGACCAGCGAAATGCTGTGGACATAGTATACTTGGATTTCAGTAGAGCATTTGACAAGGTAGATGAGTGAATAGAAGGGAACTCGTCAATTTTGCAGATGATACCAAGCTGGCAGGAATAGCCAACACCCCAGAGAAGATAGGCTCAAAATCCAGAAAAATCACAACGGACTCCAATATTTGAGGGGCTGCCACAAAGAAGGGTGTGTGTGTTTCCATCTATTTTCCAAAGCACCAGAAGGCAGGACAAGAAGCAATGGATGGAAACTATTTAAGGAAAGAACAACCTAGAACTAGAACCAAATTTCCTGATAGTGAAATTAACCAGCGGAACAACTTGTCTTCAGAAGTTGTATGTGCTCCAT